TAGTTGATTGTGCAGCAATTAGGGTTTTTGACTGTGCAACTTGACCTTGTGAGCCTTGAAACTTGACATGTAGGTGCTTGACAATGTATATGAGCATATGGGACTTGATTGGGCCCTTGAAAACCTCAACTTCCTTGTAAGAACCAAAACCCTAATTTTGCCTGCCTTAGGAGGATGGTTGACTGTGCAACTCCTTGAGTGGACTTGAGTAAATGCTTGCCAAAACTTTGAAGGATATGGGAGGGCAAATTTTGAGGTACAAAAACTGTCTAAAGCCCAAGCGCTGCTAAAGGGGTATATAAAAAAGCGCTGTCTATTCTAAAAGCGTTGTCTAAAGTTGACATAAGGCAGCGCTTTTACATTGAAAAAAAGCATTGTCTTTTCTTTTAGCAGCGCTGCTTTAGGCATTGCTTTAAAGCGTTGTTAAAGGCCAAAAAAAGCGTTGTCTTTTCCCTTATTTTTAGTAGTGTCAGGACGCCAGTAGGTGGATCGATAACATTCTGGTAGAAAAATGGACTAGGTCATACGATAATGGACAAAGATGGGGCCAGATGCCAACAAATCTAATTGAATCCATGAACGGGGTATTCAAAGGCATATGAAACCCCCCAGTAACTTCTTTGGCTAAATCAACATATTTTAGGATGGCTTCGTTGTTTGTCAAATGTGGAATGCTGTGTTGTAATCTGGACAACTATGGAGTGAAAGCTGCATGAAGTATATTAAGGCAGAAAGTGCAAAAGCCAACAACCATCTGGTTATACGGTTCGAACGACACAACCACAATTTCATTGTCAAAGAGACAATCGACCACAACGAGGGTCTTCTAAGACAAGAGTATAGGATTATACTACCTTCTCGTTGGTGCGATTGTGGTAAGCTTCAAGCCTTTCGTATGCCTTGATCTCATGTCATTGTTGTGTGTGTCTATACTCATCAAGACACGCTACAACTTCTATCTCCCATTTACAAATCTGAAACCTTACTCAATGTATACAACAACAACTTCCCTTTGGTAGAAAAACCTAATTATTGGCCTGCATACAACGACGAAATAGTATGAAACAATAACCAAATGCGAAGGAATAAAAAGGGTTGTCCCAAAAGTAAGCGCATCACAACTGAAATGGACTCCCTTGACAAGCTGGAAAGAAAATGTGGTTTATGTCATCAGGTCGGACACAAGCGCAAAAATTATCTGAATCGGGCTATTGGCTCAACCACATAAAAATTGTATTACAAAACATATTTACTTTTTTAAGTTGTAAACATTAGGGTTTTTCATTAACAACATTTGTTACAATAAACCTTGCGCGAACAAGAAATAAAACACGATAAACTGTCTATGAAATTACAACCGTTAAAACAATTTCATGTGACCCATGCATCATCAACATTACGTCGCTGTCTGTTTTGACTTCCTCCAACCAAAAATTAGGTCTTCCTGTCGCAAGTGAGGTTGTTGTTCGTCTTCGCTGGATCCTTCTAATTTGTTCCCCATCCTCGATGTCTCTCTCTAGCCATCGCATCAACTCCCTCTTCAGACGTTCCATGGAGTGAATGTGCCAGAATTTCATTTTCATCGGAGGTTTTGTGGCGGAAAAAATAACGTAACCATCTCTGATAAAAATCATGGGCGATGTCATGACGCAAATAATAGAGAGAAAAAATAAGAGAACAGTGCGAGAAAGTGTGAGGAATGATGGAGAAACAGACGAATTATTTATAAAAAATGCATTTTGCCCTAGGAGCCAAGTGAGATGGCGCCTCCTCTCACTTTTAAAGTGCATGCGCCATTTCACTTGGCTAAAAGAGAGAGCATGCGCCAAGTGGGATGGCGCCTAGGGCAAAATGCTCAGTGCATGCGCCAACTGGGTTGGCTCCTCTCTTGTGGGGTTTTCTGAAACATGGTTATTTGCGTAATTTTCTCCGAAACATGGTTATTTATGAAAAAAAATTTAATACCTAGTTATTCCAAAAAAAAATTCCTATATTTTAGTTTACTTAGACTATAAATTTTTTATTTTATTTTTAAGAATTGGTTCATTAAACCTAATTTGTTTTATAGGCTCATATGTCATGTTTTAAGTAATATTTTAAAAATTAGACCGGTAATTAAATCGGTAAAGATATTGAATCACTGATTTATTGATCGAATCACTAGGTCACTAGTAGAGTTGTATGACTAAATCAAATTAAATCGGATAATTCAATTGAATAAATCGATCTATATAACAAAACTATATATTTATTAAATCAGTCAACTCAGATGATTCGATCTCTAAAAAATATCATGACAGCTATAAATTTTCAAAATATCATAATTTTACATGTTCATTCTATAAATTCAAATTCTAAATATAATCACCACTCACAATAAAAATAATATATAATAAAATTTAAATAAATTTTGAATCAGACCTAATTGCAAACAACTAAAAGTTGTTCTAAATAAGTTTTGAATAAAGTTTATTTATATTTTAAAAATAATAATAATGGTGTCGTTTTGTTCGAGGAAAAAAATATCATGCTTTTGAACCGTCAGTTTTTTGAAAAACTCCGGTTCACCGGTTTTTACCGATTTCCACCTTCTCTATAGCATACCCAATCTAGCAATCAGACTAGACCAGTGACCTCTTCGGTTCCCAGTTCAACTGGTTGGTTTGGTTCAATTTTTAAAACACTGGTTTCAAGTTGACTCTATTTTTAAAAAAAAAATTAGAATAAAAAAGAAAAAAAAGTCGGGAGTTCGAGAGCACCAACGAGAACAATGCTCCAAGACCACAAGAGAGGGAGACGTTTCATCTCAACAACTTTTTCACAACACTACCCTTGATATATCAACATTCTCATAATCTAATTCATATTTCACTCATTTATCTCTCACACCATACCAACTATTTTTCCTCTCTCTCTATCTCTATCTATCTATCTATCTATCTATCACTATTAAATTTGAGTAATTTTAAAATGCGGGAAACAATTGTGTAAATGGGTATAAATAAAATATCAAAATTATGATTAAGATTATATATTTTTAGAAATTAAAAAGTAGTTGAATACGTTAATGCTTTCCCTAAATATCTCAATATCTATTTTTAGTCTTCTAAAAAATTTTCTTCAAAAATTCATTCTCCTAAAATTTTCCATTCAAAATTTTGTTCTCTCCAATTGATTTTTCTTAACTGATGCTAGTGTGAAGGGCCACCTGACACTTTTGTTGGCAAGCGCAACACTTATTAGGTGGCCACATGATTGCCAATTAGGATTTGTTTTAGGACAACATGAAAATAATTTAACTAATTTATTTTCTAAAAATGGAAAAATCTAAAAATCATAATTTATTCAAGAACTCTAAATTTCTAACTTTTTTACCTTCAGAACTATCCTTTTAGCTCCCCATTCATATGGATTGAAATGCACTATATCCAAACACATTTATAAAATGGATAGGAGAGACTCTGGATAAATAATAAAAATTTATCTTTAATAGAAAACTAAACAACTAAATTTTTATTTTTATTTTTATTTTTTAAGTTTTATTTTTCGTTTAAGTTTTATTGCATATTTAAATAGTTTTTCAAAACGAGAGTCGTATTTGATAGTAGATTATACTTATATTTTGTATATAATATTGTATTGCCATTTAGACCAAATTTAAATTATACTAAGGGTTGTTTTATAAAAAGACTCTAAGTTAAGTATAATAGTGGCGAGGTTTATGCATTTAATGGTCAGAATTTAAACATCATCTTCTATTTTGAATTTAACGGTTAGAATTTAAACATCATCTTCTATTTTGAAGTTTGTGACATAATTAAGTAGATGGACTCATAGTTTGAAGTAGATGTTGTGAAATTTTAGTGGACACATGAGGATGGTGGTTTGGAATAAGACCTAAATTCATTTAGGAATTATAGGAGGATGATGGTTTGGAATAAGACCTAAATTCATTTAGGAATTATAGAAATATAATGCAACTATCAAAATTTGATGAGGAAAATAAGTGTGATATGAAAATAAAAAATTGAACCCAAAGCCTCTACAAGTAATTCTAAATTTATGGATCATGTCAGAAAGAAAGATCAAGAAAAGGAATTTGATGAAGCAAAAAAGCAAGGAGTGTTGGGGGAAACTAAAACACAACATGCAGAAAAAAATGAACAAAAGTAGGGAAAGCAATGTGTTGGCTACCTATGCGGAAGTTGTAAAAGGTAATGATTCTGCTGCAAGGAGAGCACGACAACAAGAGCTAAATGAAACCATAGTTGGAAGAGGCTTTGAGGGGGGAAAATAAGAATATCAAGAGGGTGTTATGCAAAATCTGCATATGGTAAATGAGCCATTGGATAATAAGGTTAGTGAAGGTGAAAGTACTGTGTTGGGAGTTGTAGGTGAAACAGTGCTAGAGATTGGAGAAAACATGCTGAACCAGCTAAGGAAGTGATAGAAAAGAGTGAAAAGGGAAAAGAGGGTGGTGGAGTGTTGAGTACCATAGGTGAAACCGTAGCAGAAATAACATAAACAACTAAGTTTATTGTTGTTGAAGATGGAGAATCAGAATCAAAAGTGAGCATTGATTCAAATACAAAAGTGAGTTTTGTATGTTAAGGCCTTTTAACTGAATAATGTGTTTATAAATAATCTGTTTTATGCAAACTATACTTTATGTAGCTGTAAATAAATAACAATTTTGCTTTAATTTTTATATACACACATAGATAGGTCATGTGAGTTTTTGTATTTTTGGTATATCATCATGTAAATAATACATAAATGTATAAGAGAGATCATCATTGTAGTAACATCGAACATCATAAACACAACATTAATACTAACACGTTGAGACTAGTAATAATTTGAAAAGAAATAATAAACTAAACGTAATTAAAAGAGTCTGTGTCACAGGCACACTTTTTCTAGAGGGGTCGGTGTTCCAGAGATAATAACCTAAAAACCTCGTTCAGTCTGAATCAAAAGAATAACAAAAAAAAGAGGGGTCAGCATGGGATCATAGAGGTGAACCACGTCATGACATGCAATGGAGCTTTGATGAATTCAAGAGCAAGTTCAACTATTATCGTAAAACACAAGCAACATGGGCAAATGCATGAAAGCAATAATCTGCAAAAACATGAACCATGATTTTTATAGTAATCAGACTGAAACCCCAAATCTGAAATGATGAAGAAATCAAAAGATTACCCGATAATCCAAACGAATGTACCAACGATTGTGAGGAGGAGAGAGAGAAATGCAAAAGGAAGGCCTATTAGAAAACCCAAAGGTCTGCATTCACCTTCAGAATCGCACATTGTTTCTTTTCACTTTCCAACCCTTTTTCTGGATTGGATAGAATAGATTCTCCATTAATTATCTAGATATGTTAATTAATTTAAGATTTGTTATAGTTCTCTTTTATGAACTTCCAAGTAGACTTTAAATTGATAAAAATACCCTTTCTCTATTTCTAAATTTTTAACTATTATTCTCTTTTTTCTTCTCTTCTTAATCTTCCATTTTTCTCTCATTTTTATCATTTTGAATCCTCTCCCATTTTTTTCTCTTTTTTTTCCCTCTCTTAACCTCTCTCTCTTGCTAAATATGAAACTATCTATTTATGATATTCAAATTCAAAGATCAATTATAAGTAAAGTCTAATATAATCTAATCTCTCTCTCTCTCAATTTAGGTCATATATATTAAGATCAAATTTGGATACAAAATTATTGAAGGGTGTAAGGTCAAGTTCTTTAGTAAATACATAAGTTAGTTGTTAAGAGAAAGATATAGGTAGCGGATGAAATGATTTTTTATGTATTTTTCTCATACAATATAGCAGTCTAACTCTATGGATTTGGTCCTCTCATGAAAGGAAGAATTGGTTGTTATAGAGGATATGCTAGATAATTTAAAGTCTTTGAGAATGTAAGATATCCATTGAATTTCACATTGAGTGGATGTCACTAACATTTACTCAACTTCAAGTAGACTTCTTGAGAATATTACATGTTTCTTAAACTACCAAGATACGAAAGAGTTATTAAGGAATCACAAAAAAAAAAAATCTCAATTATGACGTGATTACTACGTCACAACATGCAAAATCACGTCATAAATTGTTTTTTGCGACGTGAACAATTACTTTGCAGGAGGGTATATGACAACTTTATAGCGACGTGATTTTCATGTCACAAAGTTGTGACGTGAAAATCACGTCGCAACATGTTTACACAATTTTCAGAGTGTCTCAGTGTGTGCAGCGTAGTAGGTTGTGGGTCAGAGCAAACACTTTATTTGCGACGTGATTTTCACGTCACAACTTTATAACGTGAAAATCACGTCACTAAATAATTTACTTACGCAAATTTTTTTTTTTTATATATATATTAAAGGTTGCGACGTGATTTACATGTCACAACCTTGTGACATGGAAATCAGGTCACTTATTTTTTTTTAAAACTTTTTACTAAAACAAAATATACTAAATTTAATTAATAATATTAATTAATAAAATTAAATTAGACCTATTTAATAAAATACATATAAAATAAACCTATTAAATTAAACCTATTTAAATTAACAATATGTGACATTATGAAATGGTCATACTCTTTATACCTCTGATCCATTTGAATCTCAACAGTACCATATGATTTATCTATTTTTGTGCCTCTAGTTAGATAATATCATTCACAATAAAACAAGACAACTTTATTTTTCCGAGTCCAAGTAATTGTATACCAACTCGTAGATATGTTTAACAAAGCCATATAAGTCATATTCACCGCCATCTGTAACTCCTTTTAAAAATACACCACTGTTTATGGTTTTTCCCTTCAGTCCATGTCTCAGTGTGAAATTTATATACGTTCACGAAGTATGTGTGCCATTCATTTTCGCTTTGAACAAGGCCTTAAGACAAGTTTCTCAAATGGAGTACTTCTGGAGTCAGTGCAACAATGCTAGACATTCTCTCCTTGAACCATGCTGGAAATTGAGCATGAATGACACTGAATGTTGATTGTACACCGACACTATGAAAATAAGCGAAGTTAAATTCCCTAAAAAGAAACACACTACAAGTTTCAAGATAATAAGTTTTATATTAACACTGAAAAGAAAATTAAACAGTTGGGGTATACTTACTCAAGATATGTTTTAACTTCAATGCAGTTGATCAAGACATGGACATGTGCAGATTGCATTTCTTTTTGGGTCAACCAAAAAACACCCTTCTTTCCAGAGGGACGACCTAGAAGCCTGAAGACTGATAAGGTGGATTGACTTCTCTTGTTGATATTTATAGGATTTCGTATGATTCTAGGAGTTAACATCAAGTGATTGAAATAATGACTGCAAAAATGTGATGTTTCCCGATGCAAGTAATGTGCACATATAGATCCTTCAACTCTAGCTTTATTTTTCATTGATCGCTTTGAATCACCCATGAACCTTTCAAACGATACATCCACCTATATTGAACAGATCCACCAAGATAAGCTTCATATGCAAGATGCACAAGTAGATGTTCCATGGAGTCAAAAAAACCAAGCAGAAATACTTGTTCCAACTTACAGAGAATGAGTGGAATGTTTCAGTCCAACTTAATGATGTCATCCACTCTTACAGCTGACGCACAAATATCTCTAAAAAATTGACTAATTTCAGTTAGTGAATTAACCACATGTTTGGGTAGTGAACCAAACGCAATTGGTAGCAATTGTTCCATAAAAATGTGGCAAACATATCTTTTCATACCATGCAACTTCTCAGTGTTAGCGTCGACACACCTTGCTAAATTTGAAAAAAAACCCATGTGGCATTCTCAAATCTTTTAACCATCGAAAAACCGGTTTAGCTTCTTAAGAAGTCAGACTAAAATAAGCCTTGGGTTTTAATAATTTTTCATTCGATTGAGGTTTCAACTCCAACTCTTTCCAGTTACACAAAATTTTCATGTTCTGTCTAGCCTTCTCATTATCTTTTATTTTTTCTTTAACATTCACCATTGTGTTAAATACATTATAAAAAAATTCTTCTCAATATGCATAACATCAAGATTATGGCGCAACAAATTATCTTTTCAATACGGGAAGTCCCAAAATATACTTCTTTTTGTCCAATTGTGTGTGACTCCATATCCTTCAATTCTACATTCTTTGCCAATATCTGTAAATTTTGGTCGTTCACAAACTTGGTTCCATATATTACTTGGTGACAATCGAGGCGGAGGAAGATCTGTTACTCGTTTGTCTTTTTTAAAATTTGTCTTGTTTCTTCTATAGGGATGATTTATTGGTAGGAATCCGCGGTGACAATCAAACTACGAGCTTTTCCCCTATTTATCCAACACAAACACTTTGGTGTATACCATGCAATGCGGACAACCTATTTTGCATGCGTACCCCTGTTGGCTCCTAAATTCGACACTCTTGTTTTATCAATGTCAACCATTAAAAGCTGAAAGATGTTTTCGACTGGCTAAGCCTGTCGAAGTGCCCGTCGAAAGATGGCAAAATACTTAGAAGATTTCTTCCAAGGAAGAAGGCTGATTGCCTTCGACGTCGAAGGAGTTTTTCGTCGAAGATGTCTCTTGACGAAAGTGTTCGATGGTTCAGAATGGAGCAGTTTGAAATTCAAGCGTTTGGAGGGAAAACGGTTTCCAGCAGTTACCACGTACAAACGTGCAAGGATCTGGAGCGTCGAGCATGGAGAACGTGCCAAGTGGATTGATCTCGAAGCAGTGTAACTGCCCGACGGTTACTTGGGATGTTTTAGTATAAATAGGAGTAGACATGTAGTTTCTCGCGGGTGTTCACAATTATATACTAAGTCACTCATATAGATTCGAGTACCCAGCGTGTGAGAAAGAATTGTTGAGAAATGTATGTGTGAAACACCAATTTTATCAATTAAAGTCATTTACTTTTCCAGAATTTTACTTGCTTTTCTCTTTACATTTCCTGTCGAACCTTTACTTTAAAGCCTTGTTTATTTTACCAAGTCTTTCCTTTATGCAATTCATTTAAAACCTTTTTATTTAAAGCCTTATCCACCTTAATCAAACTTCAAAATCAACCTATGTCCATAGGATCAATCTGATCGATCCTGCGAGTAACCAAATAAGTAACCATTTGGAGGATCAGCGGTTGTTTACCAAAACCCAAGGTAAACAAATTGGCACACCTGGTGGGACTGTGTGTTGATTGTTGAAAATAATCTCATCTTTTCGAGTTGTATGTTATTGAGAAGTGGTAGAATATACACTAACGATAACAATACCGCCAGAAGAAGGGAAGAGATGGCGAATCCGCCAAACAATAACGAAATCCCACAAACAAGTGTGGGAGCAACGGTTAGTATGACCGTAAGTGAAGCGACAAACGTTGGTTCGACACCAGCAGTGTCGGTCACAACCACGGGGCCAATAACTTCGTTAACAGGCCCCAGAATACCTTTGGGAACTCCCCCACCAAGGGGAAATTTAGGCACAAGGCCTGTGGTTCCCCCAGGATTTATTCCATTCTATGGCATGCCAACTTCTGAAGTGGCAAGCCTGACGAATGCTGCGTCCACTTTTTCAGACCCTTTCGTGAGTGCCTCTTCGCCACTCCAAGGCTCTGGAGTAGGCATGGCGAATAGAAATAGGACCCAACTCTTAGGAGGAACGTCCCAAGTAGCCCATGGCCTTACGAATGCCTCGACAGCAGTCTTGAGGCAACAAATGGACGAAAGCAACCATGATATGGTGCAAATGTTGGCACAAACTTTGAGTACAGTGCTAAACCCTCTAATACAAAACACTACTCAATCGAATCAGCAAGTTACAGCGCAAATGACGCGTTTGGCTGATTTCTTTGGAGTACCCCCACCTGTTCGACAGCCCCAAAGGGCGCAAATAAGGGGAAATCAGGGGATATTTGTAGAGGAAGAAACCACCATTAACCAGGCTCAACAACCTGTCGAAGAAAACCTTAGGGCACGATTGGAACAACCTGTCGAAGAACCTAGGGTAATAACCCCAGAGGTAAGGTTAGTTAACAGAAACCAAAATGCTGACGAAGTGGTTCAGCATATCCAATACCAAAACATGGGTTTGGAAAACAATCTGGCAACCATGATCGAAAGGATCATGACTCAGAATGGGATGAACATGGGCTTTCGAAGGCCCAACTTTACGTCTCCATTGTCAGAATACGTGTTACAAACGGATTTACCTCCTAGATGCAAAGTCCCCAAATTTACTAAGTTCTCAGGGGACACGACAGAATCTACTGTCGAGCATGTGGCGAGATACTTGATCGAAGCAGGA